GTCCATTCAACTATTGATCACTTTTCATGATAATAAAAGTACCTCTTGCTAGGCCAAGGGTCATTAGGATAAGCCACTATGTGCTGCCTAAGAAGAGAGTGCCCTGAGAGCACCCTCCAAGAATGGGCCCTACAATCATAAATTCAGTCTGAAAGAGCTTGGATAAACAATTGCAGAACAATCCAAGCAGACTTCAGTAGACAAGGTGGGGTCAAACCCAAGTCAATACAAGGAGAATAAGATATGACTATGAGAAACACAAAGAGATAAGCTCTTTAAAAAAATGGTGATGGGCAGCACTTACCAGGCATTCCTGTAGATAAGAGCTTAGACCCTGTCCAAGTATTTTTATATTCACTGGCCATTTATTTCTTATAATAATCTCATAAAGAGCTTTGCCCTCATTTTATAGTTGCTCTCACATGCACACAGTAACTAGCCCAAGGCCATGCCGCTAGAAAGTGAAAAGGCTAGGATTTGAACTCAAGCTATTTGGCTTTGGAACCTGGATCTTCTTTTTGGTGGTACTGGGGCTTGAACCACTCAAGTTCTACCACTTGAGCCACCCTGCCAGCCCTTTTTTTGTGTTAGATATTTTCAAGATAGGGTCTCATGAACCATTTGCCCCAGCTGGCCTAGAACAGAGATACTCCTGATGTCTGACTCCTGAGTAGCTAGGATTACAGATATGAGCCACCGGTACCCAGCTGGAAACTGGATCTTTAGCTACCACACTAGATCACCTTACTGACTGTAACTATGCCTACTATGTGCCTGGCAGTGTTCAATCTTTTGATCCTCATAACATTCCAACAAAGCAGGATTCACTTATTCTATTACAAAACAGCTACTTAACCTGCCCAACATCACACAGTTAGTGAGTACTAAAGTTTGAATTCAGACCCAGGTAATCTGTCTCTAAATCTTACGCTTTGCCCCTATATAGACCCTTTATGGGGGAGGTTCCATGTAGATGGTGATAGTGTCAGATACACAGCTGTTGTGAGCAGGACAGACACAAGATAAAGTGTGAAAGAGTGGGATAGGTAAAACTATGGAGGAAAATTAGCAGCTGACTGGCTATGCAGGATACCCAGGGAACTCACGACCCAATCTTTTATTTATTTATTTTGGCAGTACTGGGGTTTGAACTCAGGGACTCACACTTTCTAGGCAGGTGCTCTACCACTTGAACCACTCTACTAGCTCTGTTTTTGGGTTGAGTATTTTGGAGAAAGAGTCTCAGGAACTATTTGCCCAGGGCTGGCTTCTAACTGCAAGTTTCAATTCTCCTGATCTCTGCTTCCTGAGTAGCTAGGATTATAGGCATGAGTCACCGGTGCCTGGCAACCCAATCCTTCTTGCCAAGGACACAGAGAAGACAAATGATCTCTAACCACAAGAAATCTAAACAAACAGCAAGAATGCCTCCCTCTTGGAGTACATCAGGAAGCTACCATATAGAGAAAATTATTAGATCTGGAAGAAATGATCTCCAGCTCCCACTGGATAATGGGGAAATAAGATTTAATATAATTTACCAGCTTTGGGCTTCATGAAGGGGATGAGAAGTCTGCAGACACCTGAATTGTGACTGGGCAACTAAAGAAAAATCCATTTGAAATTCTACCTGCTGGGTAAATGGGTGGAACTGGAGAACTTCATGTTAAAGAGACGTAAGCCAAGTTCAAAAAATACATTTTTTTTCTCATCAGTGGAAACTAGACCTCTAAGTTAAATGCATATATAGAAACATAAATGGTTATATATATATATAGTGAGAGAACAAAAATTGTATCAGTGAGTCTGCCTGAGGGAGCTACAGGAGGTGGGAGAGAGAAAATGTTAGAGAATGAAAAATATTGAAACAACCCATCTATATATGATATAATGCACTGTACTGTAAGCTGTTGTTAAGGGAGCATGGTGATAAAGAATGAGCAGGTAATTGGAGAAGGGTTAATTTGATAAAAGCATGATATATACAGACCTGAAGTATCAAGGTGAAACTCCCTTGGACCATCAATATGTACTTAATTAAAAATAAAAAAAAAGGTCAGGAGAAAAATACATCTTTTCTGGGAGTGGGTACCAGTGGGAGGGTGTACATGGTGGATGTATTTTGCATCCACATATGAAAATAGAAGAATGAAACCTGTCGAAATTGTTCTTAGAATGAGGCAAAGGGGGAAGAGGGAGAATGATAGAGGAGGTAAATCCAACTAAGACACATTTTAAACACGTACGTAAAAATCTCACTCTATCCCCCTGTACAACTATTGCATGCCAATAAAATCATGATAAACAAATAAATAAAAATGAAATTTCAAAAAAAATTCTACTTGCTGATTCCCTTTCTGAGCTTTTATTTTTAAAAAGAAGCTGTGTGTGTGTGTGTGTGTGTGTGTGTGTGTGTGTGTGTGTGTGTGCCTCATGCTTGCTAGGCAGGCGCTGTACCACTTGAGCCACACCCCTAGCCCCCTCCCCATTTTTTTTGAAACAGGGTCTCACTGTGTTGTTCAGGATGACCTCAAACCCCTGGGGTAAAGCAATCATCCTGCCTCAGCCTCAGAGAAGCTGGGACTACAGGGAGGTACCACTGTGCCTGACTGGAACAGCTTTTTTGTGAGTTATGTAGCTAGGTTTCATGACACCTGAAAGTATTACTCAAATGTCTGTGAATATTGAATATAAATTTTGCTTAATATTTAAACAGTGCAATTGGTTTATTTTTCAGAACTTCAGAAAATAAACTTCTTTACTGAGGATAAAGTCCTTGGGATCCCACATTTAGTTATTTTTTAGTTCAGAGAACACTGGTCAGCAATGTAAAATAATCTCCAAATCAATGTTTAGAAAATTGGGAGGGGGGGTGTAATTTACAAGATTTTTTAAAAGAAATGGATCAATTTACAAAGTAATTATTTAAAATATTTAATAGTAATTCAATGCTGATTAATTGCCTTTTCAATAAATAGTTATTGAACACAGTAAGTGTTGAACACTTACCATGTGCTAGGTTCTCTAAAAATAGTAGCAGGAAAGAGGAACAAAACTTCCAGGCCTGTCCTTAGGAATCTTACATTCTGGTAGGAAGGAGAAAGTAACTAGAAAAAAATGAATAAGTAAAATAGAAGATATTTTAGATGGTGGTAAGTGCTAAGAAGAATAAAACAGGGAGAAGGGATGGGAGGACATGTGGCTGGCCAAGGAAGCCATTATACTACCTGTGTCTTATAAGATTATAAGACACAGGTAATATACATGATACACATACACAGAGTTTAGGACTATGAAGCACTTTGCTGGTACTGACATGTGACATTCCATACATATCCAAAATAATAATGTAACAGACAATAACAAGTGTGCAGGCTTTAGGGTTCTGGATATCAATACTTTTGGTGGGGAAAGCGACAGGGTTTGAACCCGGGTTTCCTGCTTGCAAAACAGGCACTCTATCACTTGAGCCACACCTCCAGTTCATTTTGCCCTGGTTACTTTGGAGATGATCTTGCTGACTACTTGTACCAGCTGACTTCAAACCCTGATCCTACTGATCTCAGCCTTCCAAATAGCTAGCATTACAGTCGTGAGCCACAGGCGCCTGGCTGATATCAATAATTTCAAAGATTAAATATTTAGTAAGAATCCAAGCTAAGGTGGTGACGCAAGTGATAGAAGCACCAGGGCCTGAGTTCAAACCCCAGTGTCTTAGAAAAAAAATCTTATATACACCAATTTGTAAAAGGTACTCAAACTGCTTTTGCTGAAAAGCATGGACTCCTTACTCAGGCCCACGAATTAATTAAACACAGGAGAAAATCTTGCCAACTCTCTTCATTTTGTATCTGTCTTTGTTCTAAGCCAGCCTAGTCACCTTGCAATCACCTTAGATTCCAAGAAAGACAGATGATAACATCTTCATAACAAGGGACCAAAACTACCCCAACAGTAGACCCTCTCAGGATGAATCACCCCTCCAGATAACTCTAGAACCTCTCCCAAATAAGGACTGAGATAATGACTAGCCAGGCACAGATGTGACTGGAACTGTTATGCAAACCTTTGTCCGTGCCCCCAGCTCTGTGTCTATTTAAACCTGTAGCTCATGCAGCTCTTCAGATGGGTGAAGTTGGGCTGAGTGCTTACTCTGCCTCTTCCCACAGCATGTCCCAGCTGTGTAACAAATTTCCTTTCTCTAGTTTCACTGTGCCTCTTTATTTGGAGTATAGGAGTGACCGGCTGGACCTGGCATGTGGAATCCATGTTTGAACCTTGGATCCTAAAACTCCGGTTTCCGCTTCAATTGAACTTGAATGAATACTGGGGCCCATTTTTTCAAATATAGTTTCCCAGCGAGCAGCAGTGCTGACTTTTGTCTAGACCAGTGAAAGTCAAGGCTAGTCTGCACTCTATCACTGCCCATTCAAGTCAGCGTGGTGGTGAGGAATTCCAATTGCACAACGGCAGATTTCTGAAGAAATCTCTCTGGCTGGATTGGAACGCTTTGTGGCCTTTTTCCTCGGCCAAGATAAGCACGAATTTATGAAATGTGGTTTATCAGTTCTAAAGCCAGGGTCCACTAGACTCACAGCTGCGCAGGGACGAGGCTAAATTCCTCCTCCGACCTTGGGAAAGCCACTTTTGGTAGTAAAGGTCACTCTTGGTCACCCGCTCCGTTTTCCTCGCCCTTCCTTCCAATCCGGAGCTGCCCAATCCCGGACCACAGGATTTGAGGACCACCGCCCTTCCCGGGAGGAGTGCGCTCAGCCGGGTCTTCCTTTCCAGCCTCCTTGCACATTTGTTCCGCCCCACTCCCGGCAGCTCCCCGATTGGCTCCCGCGCGCGGAGAAGACGCCCCTGATTGGCCGGCGGGGAGACACCGCGAGACGCCGCGCTGCCTGGGCGGAACCTGCCGTGGAGTGATCGGCGGCCTTGCGGTGCATGGAGGAGAAGCTTTCAACTGCCCGCCCAGCAGCGCGGGTGCGCACGCCACGGGGAGGCGAAGCAGCGGTGGTGGGCCGAGGGAGAGGTGAGGTTGGGGTGCCGGCAGGGCCTCGGGCTCTAGGCTCGGGGTACAGAGCCGGCGAGGAGGTCCGGGGCGCGAGGCGGCAGTGGCGGGGAGCCCAGTGACATGACGCGGCCGGACGATGAGGAGGGGGCGGAGGTGGCATCTGGGCACCGGCTCTCGAATGGATACCTTCCGGTCCCGCGGGGCAGCCCGCGGGGGAGGCGAGCGTGGAGCCGCTGAGTGAGCCTACAGCCAGCTGCCTGCTTCTGGCTGGGGACAGCCCGCTGCCGCCTCGGCAGCCCTAAGCGGGCCACAGACGGTGCTGGCCCGGAAGAGGAGACCCATGCCCGGCTGCTGCCCATGGGCGCCAGGGAGGAGACGCCAGGGCCGAGGGCGCGCCGCTGCCCCGCACGGCGCTCTCCGCACGGCGCTTCGTGGTGCTCCTCATCTTCAGCCTGTACTCGCTGGTCAACGCCTTTCAGTGGATTCAGTACAGCATCATCAGCAAACGTGTTCGAGGGCTTCTACAGCGTCTCCTCGCTGCACATCGACTGGCTGTCCATGGTGTCATGCTGGCCTACGTGCCCTCTTCCCTGCACCTGGCTGCTGGACACCAGAGGCCTACGGCTCACAGCCCTGCTCGGCTCCGGCCTCAACTGCCTGGGTGCCTGGGTGAAGTGCGGCAGCGTGCAGCATCTCTTCTGGGTCACCATGTTGGGTCAGTGCTTGTGCTCCGTAGCCCAGGTGTTCATCCTGGGCTTGCCTCTCGCATCGCCTCTGTGTGGTTTGGGCCAAGGAGGTGTCCACAGCTTGTGCCACCGCCGTGCTGGGCAATCAGGTAAGGGCTGGAGTGAAAGGATGTCACGTCCTTAAAGGACCAGGAAAAGCCACACGCCATATGTGAGCTAGGCATGTGAACATAAATGAAGAGTGATAGCAAGATAACAGGCAGACTTGGCTAGAGGTTTAAACCCTTTGGAAGGACAGAACTTTCAAGTCAGAGCACCAGTTTAAAGTGACCACCTAGTTACCTTTCCTTTGAAATTACCTATAAAT